TTCTTTAAAACATTTCTATAGACTTTATAAACAATTTTCGTTATTTTGTTTACTTTTGTTAGCCACCAAAAATGTAGTGGGAATTTTTGCAAAAGTAATTTAGACAGTAATTTATATTTATATTTTTAGAGAAATTATTTTTAATAAATTTAAAATTGTAATTCTATATTATTAACGGTTGACAAGCTTATTATTTACGTCACCTGTGATTCTACGTTACGGTTGACGACCGGAATTCATATTGACAATAATTTACAGTATTTTTACAGGAATTACTTATTTACGGTACCTGTGATTTTACATTACGGTTGACGAACGACATTTAACATTGACAGTAATTTACCGTATTATTAAGGAATTAATTATTTACCGTACTGTGATTCTACATTACGGTTGACGACCGGCATTGAGATTGACAATAATTTTCCGTATTTTGACAGGGAATAATTATGAACGGTAAACGTGATTCTACATTACGTTTGACGACTGGCGTCCTGATTGGCAGTATTTTGACGGTATTTTTACAGAAATAAATTAATAACGGTCCTGTGATTCTACATTACGGTTGACGACTGGCGTCCTGATTGCCAGTATTTTGACGGTATTTTTACAGGAATAAATTATTAACGGTCCTGTGATTCTACATTACGGTTGACGACTGGCGTCCTGATTGCCAGTATTTTGACGGTATTTTTACAGGAATAAATTATTAACGGTCCTGTGATTCTACATTACGGTTGACGACTGGCGTCCTGGTTGCCAGTATTTTGACGGTATTTTTACAGGAATAAATTAATAACGGTACCTGTGATTTTACATTACGTTTGACTACCGTATTTCCATCAACAGTAATTTACCGTATTTTTACAGAAATTTATTTTTAACGGTAAATGTAATTTTACATTACGGTAAAGTACTGGCGTCCTGGTTGCCAGTATTTTTACAGGAAAAAATAAATAACAGTACCTGTGATTTTACATTACGTTTGACTACCGTATTTCGATCAACAGTAATTTACCGTATTTTTACAGAAATTTTATTTTTTTAACGGAAATGTAATTTTACATTACGGTAAAGTACTGGCGTCCTGGTTGCCAGTATTTTGACGGTAATTTTACAGGAAAATTTTTAACCGTGTATTAAGCCTTCCAAGATGATATTAGGTAGCTCACCTCCACTGCCCCTGAGAATATGTCCTGCATAGCTCAGCCTTCTTTTCATTAACTCAGTAACTAGCAACCTTTGTGTACCAGCTCTATTTAATACCTCCTGGTTGCTGACTTTATCCTTCCAGCTGATTTTCAACATTCTCCTTAGGCACCACATCTCGAAGGAGTGCAATCTATTTCTGTTTGTTTTGGTGTACTGTCATGCCTCACTACCATATGCCACCACAGAGAACACATAGCATCTCAGTAAACGAATCTTTAGGTGAATGCTGATGTTGCGCCTCAGGAACTCTTTGCATTCCCAGAACTTTGCTTTTGCTTTCCCTATTCTTCGTTTGATCTCATCATCTATCCTACCATCATCTCTAACCGTGGTCCCAAGATACTGCTAATCATGGACTTGTTCAAGATCTTTACCTTCTGCACTGATTACAAAATTATCTGGAATTACTTTGCTAATACACAATGTTTTCGTCTTTTTTGCATTCAGTTTCATGCCGTAAGCCTTACACACAGTGCAGAGCGAGTCTACCATTGATTGAAGAGACTGGGCACTATTGGCCAACAGAACTGTGTCGTCAGCATAGCGGATGTTGATTAAGCTGACTCCGTTTATCATTACGCCTGTGCAGCTCTCCATAGCTTCATTGAGTAGCATCTCACTATAAAAGTTAAAGAGTGACGGTGATAGAATACATCCTTGTCTGACGCCACGGCGTATGTACACTCTATTCGAGCATCCAGCTGCAGTTTTTATTGTTGCTGTCTGGTGCCAGTATAAGTGTGTTATAAGTTTTCTCGCATGCTCCGGGACTCCAGCTCTTTCTATTACTTCTAGTAGTTTGTAATGTTTTACACGATCGAATGCTTTTGTATAATCTATAAAGCATAAGTAGAGATTTTGTTGTTTCTCAATCATTCTCTCACTGAGACATCTTAACAGGGAGATTCCATCTCTGGTACCCTTTCCTTTTCTAAATCCAAGTTCTGTCTCACTTAGCTGACTTTCAATTATAGGGTTGATCCTAGCAAGCATGATCTTGAGCAGGATTTTCGATGCATGTGGTATCAGGCTGATTGCTGCATTGGGTTGCCTTTGCTACCTTTGGAATTGTGATGAAGTTGCCCACTAGGAAGTCATCAGGAAGTTTACCAGTTTGGTAGATGAGATTGATTAGTTTAGTCATCTGCTGCATTCCTTGTGGCCCAAGTTCTTTCAAGAATTCTGCTAGCAGATTGTCTCCCCCTGGGGCTTTGTTATTAGGAAGCTGTTTTATTGCATCTTATACTTCCTGTAGACTAATGTTTGGCAGCTCATCTTTGATTGTGATTTCAGGTGGTTCTCCTCTGTCATCCATGAAGCGTTCCTCTCCTATGTACTCTTCCCATCTTTTTCTGATTTCCTCTTTATTGTGGAGTATTACTCCCTCTTTCGATTTGATCCCAAGTTGGACTTGGGGCTTCCTTCCTTTCATTTCTTTCACCTTTCTGTGGCGACTGACACTGTTCTATCTAGCCTCTCCAATTCTACACAAAGCTCCTGATAGTAACTTTCCTTTGCACTTCTGCATTCTTTCTGAATGTCTCTACATAGAGTTCTGTATTCTTCATGGCTGACGTGGTCTTTCACCTTCCTGCGGTGTTCCGTCATCTCTAAGATTTCAGTTGTTATCCACTGCTGTTTTTTGTCAGATGTTTTCTTCCCACAGATGTTATCTGCAACTTCTTCCACTCGGGTCTTTATTTCTTGCCAAAGTTGATTTGATGTGAGTGCTGTTTCTTTGAGTGATTTCATCATGTCTTCTGTCATCTCTCTGAATTGATTGCTTTAGCAGTACCTGCTAATTACATTTAACTGACGATATTCTTTCTTCCATTTCGTGTATTAATATCAACAAACATTCTTTTAGTTTTACTCGTGAGGCCCTATCTCGGACGATGACGTGTCAGTTTTCGAGTCAGTAGTCGCTAGAATTTTAAGATGATTTTGCATAGGCGTTGTCTCGGCTTCGGAGTTGTTTTTTTATATTTTGCTCTTGTAGCACTCATTGTTTGTCTAATGGACAGCTTATTTTACTCTAAGCTGAATGTAAAATTATATTACATACTTACGTTCGATTTATTCCATTCATTTGCTTGCTTGTGTGAGTTCCAAAAATATTTGCTCTAGAAATACTAATTTTGCCTAATCATGAGCTTTTTCTACTTTTAGTT